ACTGTCATAACTGCAGGCTGAAAATGATTTTTCGTCAAAGCTAATGCATTATTTTTCCTTTTTACCATTTCCTACGGTGAAGTGTAAACTGTTACATAAAATGGAAATGAAAAGACGTTGATTTTTTCATTGAAAATACAACTTGACGAACTATTTTACTTTTGTTTCTTTTAATATTCATCAAACTCTTGATTAAGCATTTTATGAAAGGTTTAAGTACTAATTTATAATGTAAAACTATAATTTCTTCTATTTTGCCTTATTTTTGTTCGTTTTCACTCAGTTTTAAGACTATGCGCTCTGTTCTCTTTCCATGAAGTGGTTGCAACATTTGTGAATTTACATTGTATTGATATCTTCCATTTATTTTGTGCTCAAAAGTAATAAAATTTATTTTGTACAGTTATGACCTCTCTCCGGACTTACAATGTAGATTTACTTTTTCATGACGAATCCCTTCAGAAATTCATCATACTATTGTTCTTGTTTTAGCTAAATAAATATGTTAGTATTGATATTTTTGTACTACAGGTTTATTCAAAAATATTTTAAAAAGCATGAAAGGTGAATTTTATTTGTAAATAAATATGATTTTCTAATAAAAACTCCATGCCATGTATTGTAATTGAATATCAAACATTAACTTATAGTGAAAACAGGCACACAAAAGAAATAGTGACATACTTGTACTTGATTTAATAGAGTAAAGTTATAATGTTCTTCTCTATGAAAAAACTCTTTATGTCTTTGTAGATGATATGGTTCCAACTGAAATAAAATTAATGGCTGACAAAAGGTCTGTTCCCTTGTACCTCAAACTACTTGAGTCAGGGTCTGAGAAAAAGAGAGACATACGTTTAGTAATAGTTGGGAAGAAAGGTGCAGGAAAGACATCATTGATTAAAAGATTGTTCTCTGAAGAGAATACAGATGTAACCAGTACAAATGGAATAGAAATCCATACAATAAAATGCAAAGCAATGACTGATGATGGCATATGGAATAAATTAGATGGTATGATTTATAAGCTTCAACACAAATTTTTCTCTATTCTTAAGAAAATATTTATAAAGTCGAAGGGGACTTAAGGTTTGCACTCCGTCCGTCTGTCTGTCAAATCAGTTTTCCACTCTTTTTCTTTTCATGCTTAAAGATATTGATTTGATATTTTGTGTATTGTTGTGTAATGACAAGTTACAAATCAAGTTCGAATTTTGTTCTGGTCTAATGATTTTGTGCAGAGTTGTGGTCCTTTGACTTAGAAAATTTACTCAAATAGTTAGTTTTCAGCACTTTTTTTTTGTCATTCTTGAAGATATTGATTTGAAAATTGGTATACAGTTTTATCATGACAAGTGACAGATCAAGTTAAAATTTTGTTCTGGTCTGACGATTTTGTTCAGAGTTATGGCCCTTGGACTTGCAAAATTCACTTAAATAATCATGCAGCTTTCAACACTTTTTTTCGTCATGCTTGAAGATATTGACTTGATATTTGTTATATAGTTTACACCATGACAAGTTATAGATCAAGTTAGAATTTTGTTCCAAATACAATGAATTTTTAGCACGTAGGGGACTATATATTGCCATGCAATACTTACAGAATGCTTGTTGATTTTTATCTGGTACAATAAAAATGGTACCATTAACATGATTAATGTTATAAGCTTTTAAACGGTATCGGAAAAGGTGAATAAAGTAACTGAAGTGAAGGTTTGATTTCAAAATATGACCCAACTTCATTGTTATATTATATTGTTTCCATCACATTTGCATCCATATGCATGCACGACAATTGGTTTGACCTCAGTGCCTATTTTAAGAGCTTATGTTGACGGATAATTAGAAGTTTTCCAGTCATAAAAAATGTACCGGGTAGATACTTCATGAAAAATGTGTGCCTTTTCTATTGTTTTTTGTGGAATTTTTGTACCTCTGATTATACTTCTAAATATGCTATAAATCAATTCTGAAAGTTCAAAATCAATACAGTTAATGCTGTTAACATGCACTACAAACCAGTAAAAGTCTGAAATGGCCTATATCTGTACTCGACTGTACTGATTTTTACTCGACCAGTCTGAATTGGTCTGAAATTTACTTGATAATACTCGACTGTAGTCTGAACCATACTTAACAGTCTGAACTTGTACTCGACCCGTACTCAACCAGTACTTAACCATTTTATACGCGTCTGAACCATGCTCGACCTAGTCTGAACCATACTCGACCTAGTCTGAACCATACTCGACCTAGTCTGAACCATACTCGACCAAGTCTTAACCAACCTAGACCTATTTTTTTATATCTATCTATTGTATTTCATCAATTTAGGAACTGTTTTTTACAACAGCTATTTCCCCTGGCTAGAAATTTGAACAACAATTTGAAATTAAAAATGTATTCAATATAGCATTGAAACCAAAATTTCACAAGAAACATAATATAACTTCATCACCATATTCATCAACACTTATATACATACATATATATCACCTTTAAAATAAAAATAAAACAAGCTGATCAAATAATCTCAAAACTGAATTTTGACTAATATTTTCAATGTTATTCAAAATTTTTTGAATGTTTCAGATATATTTTATGGTTACTGGACAATTTTCACCATTAACTTAAGCCTCGTATAGATTTATGGTGTCAGTTGAGTTTAGTTAATAATGCAGTGAAGATTTTTTTTATTAAAATATATAAAATAGCATATAAAGCAACTTAATAAATTTAAAAAATGACACCTTTGTTATGTTAAACCAAGAATTTAATATAATCATGATAATAGAACTTCCATAGTAAAAAAAGGAAATGTGTTCCAAAGTTACAGTAAAAATTTATTTCAATTAAATTTAAATAATTTTTGTCAAAATTAAAGACATGGCATACAAGAAGCACTTTAATAAGGTTTTATAACCTCAGTACATGTGTGTTTTACAGGTAAAAAGAAAGCCTATTTTTCTTAAACTTGTGTATTACTTATCTAGTGAATTCAAAAGGCCTTGCGATTTAAGTTTCACAGGATGTTGCAATTTTGAATGAATGTTATTTAGAATTTAATACTCTCTGACCAGGTGTGATCTTTTTCATGAGTTTGCCACAAGCAGGAGGTATTACTTTATACTTCACCACTAATCAGAAGAACAATTTTATTAATTTCTTTAATTTTTATCCCTTTTTGATATATATTGTATATAATATATCCCAAATTATAATAATAGATATATTTCTAAAATAAGGTTAAACAATTTCAGTGATTTGTTGGCTGTTGTTACCTCAGTAAAAAGATAATTATATAACTATTGTACATTTTTTGTATGTAACCATGAAACCTATGTAGTTTTTATTTAGGAATTTAGGAAAATTAATTTTAAAAAAAAACACATGCCAAACAAGAAGCACCTTAATAAGGTTAAATTACCCTCAGTATAGGTGTGGTTTTTAGGTAAAAGAAAATCTTTTTTTAACAAAACTCTGAAACTTTAAAATTAATATAATTAAATTATTATATAAGATAATTTGATTTAACTATCTCTATTCGATAAATCTGAGAATCATGTAAGAATGTAAAAAATCTGTTTTTATAATATATCTTTATTTTATTGTGGCTGTTGTCTTGTCAGTTAAAAAGAAATTAATTTTAACAGTTAAAATTTAGAAAAAGTAGAGGTTTTTTAGTCAAGTATGGTTCAGACTGGTCGAGTATTGTTCAGACCTTTGGTCGAGTATGGTTTAGACTGAAAAAAATAGGTCGAGTACAGGTCGAGAATGGGTTAAGACTGTTTCAGACTGGTCAAGTAATAGTTCAGACTATTTTCAATGGCAAAGATAAGGGTCAAGTACAAATCAGTACAGTCGAGTATGGTTAAGACTGGGGTCGAGTAATGTCGAGTAAAATTCAGACCAATTCAGACTGGTCGAGTAAAAATCAGTACAGTCGAGTACAGATATAGGCCATTTCAGACTTTTACTGGTTTGTAGTGATGTGAAGACATGGATATAAAAATGTGTTATGATTGCCAATGAGACTGCCGACCGTGCAAGGGCTGTATAGCCAGTCAAGGTCATTAAAAACTTCCATATATATAATGAGACAGCTATCAACTAAAAACCAGAGGACAAGGATGTTAAAAATTACAACTCACTATTTGCCTTCAAAATTATATATTAAGGTGGTACCCAACACTTTGACTAAAATTAATTTGGCTCGTTTAATTTTCATAAAATTTTGACAAAATATTTACTTTGACTCTTAACATGTTTAAAAAAAATATAAAAATTTCAAAAAACTTGAACCAAATCACTTTCACGGAAAAATTTCATTGGATATATAGCAGTTTGACAAACACTAATTTTGATCATTGAGAAGTTTAATATTTCATAAACAATAGAACGTGATTAAGACATTTAGTTGATTTTACAGAGTTATCTCCCTGTAGTGTTAGGTACCACCTTATTACCTTAACCATGCTCTCTCATAGTGATTCAAGTTTAATTTTCTAAGGTAATATAATGATTCTTAATGCATGTTTCTTTTTTATTATTTTGAGGAATATCGATATAGTTATCATCAATAGTAGTTTGAAACTTTATTTAGCAAAATATTGATAATAAGGTATATGTAGAATATGCATCAAGTTTTGTGGTTTTCATCAAATCTGTTATATCAATATTACAACCAACTGAAGAAACTCCTTCAATTTTGATAACTCTTCATGTGTATTTTTGTAGAATTGATGGTTGGAAAAATAATTGGATAGACAGTTTACTGTGCTACTGTTCATTGCTTATCTTATATGATGTCATCAAACTTAACATTTATCACATATCTTCTATATAATTGCAATTTTCTTATGATAGGATCGAATGAAGAAACTGAAATTCATGCAAGACTCTTGAAACAATTCAAAGGAACAATTGACGCATCAGTAGAAAAAGGAGCACATAAAGCTGCCAAGGAAAACACTCTCATAACCATTCTGTACAAGCGTAATGAGGAATCAAAAGAATCAGAGACAGTAACCCAGCAGCCTAAAAAAAGAGAACTTCAAGTAACCACTGAATCTCAAGTTGAACCTCCTGTAACCTCGCAGCAACGAAATCAAGCATTAGAACAGGCAAAAATGATATTGAAACCATGCTTAAATCTAATGTTGATTTACAAGACAAAGAGGAGTATGCCACATTATTGTTGTGGGATTTTGCAGGAGTTGAAGAATTTTACCACACACATCAAACCTTTCTGTCCTCTAGTTCAATTTATCTCGTTGTAACAAAACTCAATGAAGCTGACGACAAAAAAGCACAAGGTAACATTTCATAGAGATACGATAAGTGAGAATTAAAAAAAAAATTATAACTTTTTCTTAGCTTCCTCCATCTTGGATAATGAATATCTCTTCAGTATTGCTCGATGCCAAAATGTTGAAGAGCTAATTATAGCTTTTGTTTTAAAGACAGATTTATCAGACTCACATCTGTCATATTTATACATCACTGGTCAGTTGTTGTCAACCTATTATAAGGTAGACAACTTGAAAAAGCCAAATCGTGTACACAAATGTGTTATGCAGTTTGCAGGCTTTTGTAGCATATTAATGTTGGGTTCTTTTAACATTTCTATTCTGTAGGTGAATTGTCAAGTCTGCTTAACGATTTCTAAATGTTCAAGTAGCATTTTATTGGATTCATTTTTTTTCTTGTTTTCTCGACATTTTAAAAGTTGTCTCAGATATATCTATGAGGTCCTTAAAACATGTGTTGAATCATATTTTGAGGCCTTCTCCCCTAGGTCATAGTCCAGTGACTTTGAATTAGCAATTTTCAATGTTCAGTTTGTCTGTTGGTATCATGTCGTTGTCATCATCGGCAGTGGGGTCGCATCGTCTGAAGACATTTGGTTTCTAGACAATAACTTGTGGAACAGTGCATGGATCTTCTGAAATTGTACCAATAGTTTCCATACCACAAAAGAATGGTTAGGATTAGCTTTGGAAAGGGGGGGGGCGGGGGGGTATGGCTCAAAATGTTTAGGAATTGGGGGAAAAAAAGGGGGGAAAACAAGGGTTTCCTGGTTTAATGGACAATTACTTTTGATCTCTATGAAATAGATATTGGACCATGAAGCATTATATAAGGGATAGCATTCTATTGATTCATGATATTTTGCAAGTATATTGAAGTGAACAATATTTTTGGATTTTGATTTTGAGATAGCTTTGATTCTATATGTTGGGACATTTTGCTATAAGTATTACAATTTTTCATGCTATAAGAATTACATTTTTTTCTTATGCTGAATCTAACTGTGTGTTTGGTTGTTGGGGGTATTTTCTAGTTGGTCCAAATTTTGGTCCTAAGGATATAAAATTTGTTTTGTTTAATTTAATAAACATTAAATAAAATTCAAAAGATAATAATTACAATATTATATTTGAATTACCTCCCTTACATTGCTTTTAAATAATGTAAAGATTTTTTTAGCCTTAAGAATTACCTCCCTTACAATGAATTTGTTATAAAGAAATGTTGTACTGTCTTGAGGTGATTAGCTGTCAATTTATTTTTAGAAGTTACTATTAAATGCTGATGAAGGTATATTAATTTTTAGCTATGATTATTTTTATATATGTTTTAATACTTTTATGATGTATTTAAATTGGTGTTTTATGGTTGCAAACTCCATTGGAAATTTGAATTGAGATTATGACCATATCTTGAGGGAAAGATTTTTTTTTTATCCTCAAGATATCAGAAATTGAAAAGAAAATTTCTTCAATAAATTTTTATTTTTTGAGGACAAAAAAGGAGGGGGGGTTAGAACAAATAATTTTTGGGGTGTACAATATTTCTTCAAGATTTAAGAAATTGTCAATTTTCAGAGAAAATTGTGTGTCACAATTGCTTTAATATTCTTTGTATAACGTCTGATAACAGATTTACTAAGTATTGTCCAACAGCACAGTGAATTGCACAAAAGCAAGAGATTCAATATATATTCAAATCATATGACAAATTCTATGTTCTTTGACGACAGTTATTTTGTGTTAGAAACCTATTATGTGTCAAATATTTAATTACAATCCTAATTTAGACCTGTATCAAGCTTGAATATTCTGTCCATTTTTGCCCAAACCATTGGTTGGACCTCTGCGGCTATATCCAGCTGTGATGGGTGAAGCAATTTATTAAAATTTGATAAGTTTATCAATCAAATTATTTTTTGCCCCCACTGTAAAAGGGGGGGGGGGGGGGGCATTTAAGTTTTACCCTTGTCTGTCTGTACATCCCAAAATTGGTTTCCGTTCTCTAACTCTAGTTTGCATCAACCGAATGTTATGAAACTTATACACAATGCTTATTACCACAAAACACAGATCTTGAATTTTGGTGGCATCACTTTTTCTTTTCTTCAAAATATTAATCTAGTAATTTTTCAAATTGAAGTTATCTTCCTTTGTTCATGGTTATGTATGAATCAACTACAATCAATGCTTTATACAATGCAATGTTTAATTTTGACTTCCTCTGATAAATTAAAGCAATTTTTTTTACCCTTCAGTGCTTACATGCACTTTGATTAACTATATATGTAAGAGGGGGCATCATCTGTGTCCCATGAACACATTCCCTATTTATTTCAAAATGTAACACAACAAGGTATGGGTAAAATCTGCATTCAAAATAAAAAAAATTCATACCTGCTTGATCAAAATATTTTTGTTTATCAGGTTGGGGATCAGAATATTTTTTTATGGTAAAAAACCATAAGCCCCCCCCCTTGTTAAATGGTCTTTCCCTAAACAAAACCAACATCATCAAAGTCAGCTACTGAAAGCATTTAGAAACACAACAAGTTTGACCTTCCAAACATCGGACATATTTAAAATAGTCCTAACGATAAGTGTTACCATGCAGTTGTGAATTTCTGCGTTGAAATAGGAAGCTCAGTTTCCTGAGCTTTTTTTTTTTACTAAAAGATAGGACAGAAATAACTTGATAGATTATTTTATTTCTTTGTAGATTTATTCCAGTTATGGATGGACTCAATCCATTGTTACAGTAGAATGGAAGAGGACAAAAGTAATTCTGCTGACAGCCAGACATCAGATGATCTTGATCCACCAGTAGTTATTGTTGGTACTTGGAAAGATACTTTGACCTCTAATGTAGAAAAGGTATTGAAAATCTACAAATGTTTATAGGTTGCAAGCACATTTCTACTGTACTTTCATTTTTGTCTCGTTTGACGGAGTCAAAAAACGAGACATAGGTATGCTGTTTCCAGTGTCGGCGGTATAGTATATGGTGAACCACTGGTGGTAATTCAAATATTTTTGGTATCCAGTTGTATTAGTATTGGCACATCTCATCACCATGGAGATTATTTGGCCCCACCCCCTCAGTTATGGTCTATTGACTTTGAAACTTTTGCTTAATTTCATGTATTAGCTTGTGATTAGGTTGGTTTATGAGGAACCACTAGTAGAGGGTCAATGATATTTGGTATGCAGTTGTATTAGCATTGGCACATCTCATTACCATGGAGATTATTTTATCCCGCCCCCTCAGTTATGGTTAATTGACTTTGAAATTTTGCTTAGTTTACATGTATTAGTTTCTGTTTAGGTTTGTTTAAAAGGAACTACTTATGATAAGTCAATGGTATTTGGTATGAAGTTGTATTAGCTTTGGCACATCTCATTTCCATGGAGATTGTTTAGCCATGTACCTTCAGTCATGGTTCATTGACTTTGAATATTTGCAAAACTTACATGTTCAAGTGTTGCTATTTTAATTTCAACATTTGCATTATCCAAATTACAAAAAAGCGAGACATATATCTGTGATAACAGTTTATTGTTTAGGGCCATCATGTTTTTACTGATAGTGTAGAGTAATCAGATCAACATTTAGACAATATCTAATTAAATTACTTTATCAGTTTTAAGATTTGAAGTGTTTTCAGGAAAAACAAATCCTTAATCACATTTTACAAAAGTTGTGTTCTTACAATGATTTGTTTGATATGATATGGTTATATGATTATCATATATGTTAATACAGCTTTAGTATTTACTTCATGTTTTCAAATATGTTCAAAGCATTCATTTATTTATACAGACCAAACAAACAAACAAGCATATTTTATTTTGTAGATTGACGATGCATGCCGAGAAAACATTTTTAAATTTACAGAGAACATGTCAGAAGATGAACTAAGACATGTAAGGCAAGAATACTTCATTTCAAATACAGAAGATGATCCCAGTGTATTCCAGCAAATCCGAGAAGACATCCTAAACTTAGCGAGAAAAATGAAAACATGGAACATAGTTTACCCCTTAAAATTTATTCAGCTGGAAAAACGACTTCAAGAGAAAAAAAATGAGTTACCAATTATTTCCTTTGATGCAATTAAGCACATCTCTACTGATATACCTAATCCACTAAATGATGAGGAACTTAGATTGTTCCTTGAATTTCACCATGAGATCAGAGCTTTGGTTTATTTCAAAGATCTTCCTTCTTACATTATTTTAGATACACAGTGGTTGTCTGATGCTTTTAGATGTATAGTCACAGCACAGAAATTTAGAGCTATTAGTACTAGAAATAGAAAAAAATGGGATGAATTGTATAGTAGAGGCATATTACATAGTGAGGTTTTAGACGACATATTTAAAAAAAGTGAAAACATTTTTTCCAAACACAAGGATCACATCCTGAACGTAATGGAGAAATTTGATATCATTATACGTCCTAACATATTGGAAACTGAAAGAGACGCTGGTGATGACAAACCTCTCTATTATGTACCTTGTATGATTAAATCAGAACCCCAGTGTGATATATACGAAATGTTTAATGTTACAGAGAACACATGTACTAAGTCCACCTGGTTATGTTATATGTTTAGGTTTCTTCCACCTCATTTAATGGATCATTTAATTGCGTCACTGTGCAGGGAATATAAAGTTGCAGAAGTTGTCACTAAGGAACAGAAAAGACAAATTGCTCTTTTCGGAGGCTCAGCTGTCTTTGATTTACAGAAAACAACAAAATTAGCAAAATTACATATAATGAAATGTCCGAATTGGATTCAAGTTCAGGTTTGGCAATTTGGGAAAGGACGTGAAGGAGGTATGTACAAATACATTGACGACTTTGTGACAGAGGAAATTGTCAAGATAATAAGCACAAGATTTAAGATGTCTAATGTGAACTTTTGGAAAAAATGGGAATGTGGCCTTACAAAATCAGAGTCTGTTACAGGATCAAATGATTTTAGTGAAGAGCATATAACAGAATATTACTGTGAGACATGTACATGCACCCATATATTCATTGGTGAATGGCAAGATCTGCAAAGTAGAGTACCTTGTGTAAGTGAAATATTTATTTATTGCATAGAAACTTTGAATGAAGAAGAGGGATATATTGATTAACCTCTGTGCAGAGGTTTTGAAAAGTGGTGGTCCGAAGGTTGTGACCACCACAATGTTCAAAGGACTAACTGACACAAGTTTTTTTTTTTTTTCTGGTTCTTTATACGTGTCCGACTCATGATTTTTTATCTTATAGAAGTTAGCATGAAAGCTGTTTACAATACGATGATATGTAGCATATCATTATTATATTACCTTTATGTAACCTTGACCTGTGTACTCAAAGTCAAAATGCTTGATTTTTTTGGTTTTCGTGTCTGAATCATTACTGTTTTTATGCTTTGACATACTAGGCTTTTGATAAGAGAAACATTAGTGCAGTGTTTCATTACACTGTTTTTCGTACCATAGAGGACCTTTGACCTTGACCTAATTTATTTTGTATATGTCCTGTACTAAGTCAGGAATAGGACAGTTGTTATCCATTCATTTGATGTGTTTGAGCTTTTGATTTGCCATTTGCTTAGGGACTTTCCATTTAGAGTTTTCCTCGGAGTTCTGTATTTTTGTTGTTTTACTTCTGTCCACCAGAACTCCAAATATATTCGTAATTGTCATTTATAATGTGAATCCATTTTGAGTACTAGGTATTTTTTGTTGCTTTTCTACTTGAATGACTTCTAGAAATAAAGGAGAGACATATAAACATATCTGTTAGAGCTTACCTCAATTTGGCATTTGAATTGCAAAACAAGAGAATAGATACAAAGGCCGCATCATTAGTCCAATATCTTTATTTAATTATTAAATTACATGTAAAACAGAGGCAAAAGATACTAAATTAAAGGGACACTCAAAATCATAAGTTGAAAATAAACTGACAATGCCCTGGCAAAAAAAGAAAAAGACTCAAAAGACAAACAACAGCACATGAAACACAGCATAGAACACTAAAGACTATTTAAAGCAAAATGAACCCCACGAAAAATAAATTGTAGCACACATTTTAAAGAAAGTAGTGAAGCTCCAATACTAATAAATATCATTTTGTTAATTATTTCAGCTGTCCCAGAGTTGTGAGATTAAACCAGGATTGAATCCTAACATAGAAAGCATCAGTCAAGTCCAAACTACATCCTCTAAGGTAACATGCAATTGTTTTCTCTAATTCTATAGAAATTTAACCCTTTCCGAACCCATTATATAAAAAAATTTAATCAACGTGTGGTTGCCAGTGATCTCAGAGAAGGGCATTTGAAGGGGATTTTCTTTTAGCAAAAAAGGAAAATGTATTTTTTAATCATTAGAGAAACAGACTTTTACATAGTTACTCGTGGATTATCGGATTTATCCAATCTCGATAGTTAAAATTATAAATTTTAAAGTCCTCGCCGAGGTTCGGACTTTAAAATTGATAATTTAACTATCGAGATTGGATAAATCTGATAATCCACTGGTATCAATGTAAGAATCTAAATTTATGAAAGATTTATAAATTTCATTAAAAGTGAAAATTTGTTAAAGCTTGATATAAGCTCATGATTTCAATATAATGACAGATGAGCTAATTCAGAATTTATTATTATGTTATTTAAATTGAATAAAAAAATGTCATTGAGTTGTTACTTGTTTTTAAACATATATTTTTCTGTTGGTAAACATTCTCCTTGTCATGTGTGAAAAGGAACAATTTATGTATTGTTGTTCTTAAGAGCATACGATACAGTTTTGATCCCACGGTAAATTTTTTAGGAAAATTTGCATACAGGCTATTTTTCACCTAGTCAATTCAAATATGTTATAAAAAAATATACCTTCATGTGCTACTTTTAGAGATAAAAGGGGTCGAAATTTTAGACATTTACTCAAAATTTAGTTTTTTTGACATTTCTATCCTTTGGATAGACACACCTAACTTTTTTGTTTCAAAAGATAAACACAAGCGAATTTTTGTAAAAACATTTGGAAAATCTGGCTTCTTTACAAAAGTATGCTCTAAATTTGTACAACAATTCTTTGGAAATAATAAATTTTTATCAAAGTTTCATGATTTTAGAAAAAAACGTCATTTTTTGCTGTATATTTATCTAATTTTTAAAAAATTTCATCAGTGACTTTTTCATAAAAATTGGTACAAATAATCTTCATACCTAATCAAACCTAATGTCATTTAAAAAAAGAGGGATCCATGAACTCGTTTTCAAGTTAAATCAGTCTGAATGATAAAAATCAGTGGAAAATGCATCTTTTCCCGATATGTCACAGTTTGACGTCGCAAAAATATCATTTTACGTCATTACCTCCCCTGTAACTGTATCGTATGCCCTTAACTGTGACAGCTTTACAGTAAGGTGTCCAGGGTTTGCTGCCTACATCAATTGTATTAAACATCAGACGTTATTTGTGTTTGTGTCCACTTCATAATGCAATCACATTTGATGTAAAGAACATAATTATATTCATTTGAAAATACGAGTGTTGTATATATTGTTAAAGAACTCAAACTTTGCCGTTGCCACAGAGAAGCAATACTTTGTTAATACAATGCAGGATGAACCAACCAAACTCATATTTTGTATCGCTTGTTCATATCACTGTTCAGTGTGATAAGAAAATTATCTCTACACGTGAGAAATACTGATAACAGTTGTTTGTGATCGGTAAATAAATAAAGCACCTGAAAAAATAAAAATCAATCATATATAGTAAATATACACATTTGTGATAGCATATAAAACGTATTTTTAATAAAAATGAGTCCGATCATATCAATTTTCATGGTCATGATGGTAGATCAAAAGCTATTTCCATATAAATTGGTCTGGTAATATAGTATTAAGAAGATTATTTACCTGTTTCGTCAATTGATGCTTTGAACCACTAATTAGATAATCAATTTCATCAATTGTTTACATTTAAATTTATTTATTGGATAATTGAATCTTTTATGTATAAACATTGCTTATGGCGTTTATATTTATGATTATCAAACATTTTATTTAAATGTTTTAATTTAATATATTTCATATTTGGCATTTTCCTTTAAAGCACCAAATAAATCGAAATATGGCATTAACCAAAGTTTCCCCATTTACGTGCTGCCCAAAATTATCACTAAAAAGGATCATTTCTCAAAGTAAACAGAAAAACTATGCCTTAACATGCTTAAGGACATTTAAAGCTATAGCCTATTGCATGGGGTAGGGAAGGGTGTTGTTGTATGTAAGCTTGCTCTCTTAAGGCTTTTTATACGACCGCAAAAAAATTTTTGTAGTCGTATATTGGTATGACGTTGGCGTCGTCGTCGTCCGGCGTCGTCCGAAGACACATTGGTTTTCGCACTCTAACTTTAGTTTAAGTGAATGGATCTCTATGAAATTTTACCACAAGGTTCAATACCACAAAAGGAAGGTTGGGATTGATTTTGGGGGTTATGGGACCAACAGTAAAGGAATTAGGGGCCAAAAATAAGCATTTTTGTAATTTCCAGACATAACTTGTGTGTTAGTGTATGGATCTCTCTGACATTGTACCACAAGGTTCCATATCACAAAAGGAATGCTGGGATTGATTTTGGGGGTAATTGCCTCAAAATTTTAGGAATTAGGGGCCAAAAAAGGGGCAAAAAACAAGCATTTTTCTAGTTTCATGACAATAACTTGTGTGTAAGTGTATGGATCTTTATGAAATTGTACTACAAGGTTCCATATCACAAAGGGAAAGCTGGAATTGAGTTTGGGGGTAATTGCCGAAACATTTAGGAATTGGGGGCCAAAAAGGGGCAAAAAACAAGCATTTTTCTAGTTTCATGACAATAACTTGTGTTCAAGTGTATGGATCTCTCTGAAATTGTACTGCAAGGTACCATATCACAAAGGGAAGGCTTGGATTGATGATGGGGGTAATTGCCTCAATATTTTAGGAATTAGGGGCCAAAAAGGGGCAAAAAACACATTTTCTAGTTTCCAGACAATAACTTGTGTTCAAGTGTATGGATCTCTCTGAAATTGTACTGCAAGGTACCATACCACAAAGGGAAGGCTGGGATTGAGTTTGGGGGTGATGAATCATAAGGGGGTTCAAAAAATTGGGGGGGGGGATTTTTTTGTTTCCTTTTTTTTCTTTTTTTCCTTTTTTTTTTCTTTTAAAATTTTCCATTTTAAGTTGGTTATTTCTGATTTATATTTAAAAGCAAATAATAATGATATGGTAGGAGATACACACCAAACAGGATGTGTAAATTATTATATAATAAGTATTGTGCAATAGCAAGAAATTTTCAATTGCACAGTATTGCACAATAGCAAGAAATCTTCAATTGCACAGTATTGTGCAATAGCAAGAAATCTTCAATTGCACAGTATTGCACAATAGCAAGAAATATCCAATAGCACAATATTGCGCAATAGCAAGAAATTGTCAATAGTACAGTATTGCGCAATAGCAAGAAATATTTAATTGCACAGTATTGTGCAAAAGAAGATACTTCATATAAATTGCTTATTTCTTGACCAATTTCAATGGGGTTTTATTCTTGAATTCTTGGGGTTCTTTAATATGCTGAATCTAACCGTGTATTTAGTTTTTGGATTTTGGGCCCCTTTTTAAATTGGTCCGCATTGAGGTCCAAAGGGTCCAAAATTTAACTTTGATTTCATCAAAAATTGAATTATTGGGGTTCTTTGATATGCCGAATCTAACCGTGTATTTAGATTCTTAAATTTTGGTTCCGTTTTCAAATTGGTCTACATTAAGGTCCAAAGGGTCCAAATTAATCTTAGTTTGATTTTAACAAAAATTGAATTCTTAGGGTTCTTTGATATGCTGAATCTAAACATGTATTTAGATTTTTGATTATGGGCCCAGTTTTCAAGTTGGTCCAAATCGGGGTCCAAAATTAAACTTTGTTTGATTTCAACAAAAATTGAATATATGGGGTTCTTTGATATGCTGAATCTAACCATGTATTTAGATTTTTGATTTTTGGGCCCCGTTATCAACTTTGTCCACATTGAGGTCAAAAGGGTCCAAAATTAAACTTTGTTTGATTTCATCAAAAATTGAATTCTTGGGGTTCTTTGATATGCTGAATCTAACCATGTATTTAGATTTTGGATATTGGACCATAATAGGTGAATGTCCAATTTAAAATTTTTAAGTTCTTAGACCACATTCATTCTGTGTCAGAAACCTATGCTGTGTCAAATATTTAATCACAATCCTAATGCAAAGCTGTATCAAGCTTGAATGTTGTGTCCATACTTGCCCCAACTGTTCAGGGTTTGACCTCTGCGGTCGTATCAAGCTGCACCCTGCGGAGCATTTTATTTATATGTTAATTGCAGGTGTGTGTCCGTGTCAAAGCTAGTAAGAGAGACATTTCAAATGTCCACAATGAGTCAAGAGCAGCAGCCAGTTTGACAGGGGTATGTTATACATGTTATATCACACTTCTAGTGTTTTTCTCATTTTCTAAAAGTACTACGATATTCTATTGCAGAACTGTTTCTCTTCATTATATGTTCCGTAATTATTGTGGACAGAATTTACAGATTTTGGTAGTGAAAAAAAATTATAGTAATTTTTTGCTAGCTGATTGGTTTTATGTTCATTATTATTTTTTTTTTTTTTTGCAGATTTTAACTCAGTCCATCTGACTGTTTTTATGGTTAGTAGATTCACCCAACAATAGATACAAGAAGATGTAGTATGAATGCCAATGTGACAACTCTCTATCCAAGTCACAATTTGTAAATCTATTAATTTGACCTTTTACATTATAATTCTCTTCTTTTATCTGTATTTTAGTTCACAAAAGAGGAAATCAACTTTACAAAGATGGGAATGATTGCACTAAATATTCTTGCTGATGTTTTATATGATCTATTAAAACCAGATAAACAAAATCTACAACCAAGATGTGATTGTGATATAACATACTTATACAGTGAGCACAGGAAACTTAACAAACATATTCCAAGTAATTCAAACCACCGACGTTGTCCTCCTGGACCATGGGGAGGGAATTGGCTAGATATTCAGAATACCGACATAGCCATTGGAGATGATATTGAGCGCATAAGACTGACAAGAAACGAATTACAACACTCTAGGATATTTCAACTTGATGATCAACGTTTTAATGAATTATGTAACATATTAAGCGATCTTTTAAAACGCTTTGATCACTATAACAAACCAACAAGGCTGTATACAGATCAACAAAATGAGATTTTGGCAAAAACTGTTTCTGCAGAGGAAGTAAAATCAATTGAAAATGAAATATCAGGTAAATATGCTTTAAACAGTTGGATTTCTGAGCAATTTTTAATTCCTTACGTTTTGTTCACAAAGTTCATTAGGATTTTATTGAGACTGGTTTATACTAAAATATGACTGTATGCATACTAGATTATATATATTTACTTTCCATGGTTAGGCATATAGAATATTTATATAGATTAGACCGTTGGTCTTCCTTGCTGTTCAATGTAAGCCAAGGCTCCGTGGTGAATGTCATACTTTGACCTATAATGGTTTACTTTTTATATGACCGCAAAAAAATTTTGCGGTTGTACAGTACTTGCAACCTTAGACGTTACTGTTTTAGCGATCAATCAGCGGTCATCGATCAGTCACCGATCAGTCAAGTTCGCGTCAAACTCACATCACCAATCTGTCAGACTTATAGTAAAAGTATTTGATGGATTGGACGGATCGGACGGATAGGACCGATCGACCTTTCTGACGGATTGAACTCTACTACGTCACATGATTAACTAATACAAATTACGAAATCTTAGTTTCGTTTCATTTAATTAAAATGGCGACATGGAAAATACGAAACATTCAAGTACAAATGATCAGCATCTTTTTTTTATTAATTATTTAGCACAGTTTTAAGAATTTAAAAAGGAAATAAATATGCATATAAAACTTAATTTAAATATAACTATTAAAGAATGGCCATTTTCGTTTTAATTTAGGTTACATTTCTTCAAAGCCGGACATTTCTAAAACGGTGTTTATCGCGATTTTCAGTGATTTTATTATTTTCCGAAAATGATCTTGAAAATAAAATGAAACGATCATTTATTCCAAATTTCGATGTATTATTTTAAAATATTTTTAAGTATTTTATCCTTATAATCTTATATAATTCTTTAAACAAACTTTTCTCGAGGCCATTAAAATAACAAATCACAAATAAAAATAAAAATGCTGCAAATTCTTTTAAAAATAAAAAATATTGGTAATTTTAAACAAGGATAAAAACATAATAGTATATTTTTTCTGATAGTCTCTTAACTTTATAAAAAATAATCAATCCTAAGCTATAAAAAGTACAAAAATCCAATGACGTCAATAATTTCCTTTCAAATAAAGGAATTATTGCATTCTATTTCAACAAAAACAAAAGTTTATGCATATTTATCCTTCTTTATTCATATTTTATTAAAAAATACTTATCTAAAGGCATTTATAATGACTGATGCCAATTGTATTGCACTATTTCTGATATAAAAGAAGAAATATTTGTATTTTTATGCAATGCGAATATTAAATTAAGTATCTGTTCCTTAAATTCAACATATTTTATGAAATGCAACCAATCCTGATGTACAAAAAGTACTGAAATAAAATGGTGATTCATTATTTCTCTCAAAATGAAGATATTATTGCATTCATTTTGAACTCCAACAAAAGTTTAAGCCTTATTCTACTTATAATATTAAAATTCTTATAAAAAAATAATCTTGAAGCCTTTGAAATAACTAGTTACAAATAACAATGCATTATTTTTTAACAAAACAAGAGAAATTGGTAATTTTTAACAATGCAAACAACATTTAAGGATAATTTCTATGATCTTCTTTTACTTTATGAAAAAAAAACCAATACTAAACAATGAAAAGTACAAACATCTAATGACAGTCAATAATTTCCATTCAAATAAAGAAATTATTGCATTCTTGTTCAACAAAAACAAAAGTTAATGCATATTTATCCTTCATTTATTCACATTTTATTAAAAAAATTTATATAAAGGCATTTATAATGACTGATAGCAATTGACGTTGCATTATTTCTGATATAAAAGAAGAAATATTTGTATTTTTAAGCAATGCGAACATTACATTTAGAATCTTTTCCCTTAAATTCAACATATTTTATGAAATACAACAAATCCTGAACAATAAGAGTACAAAAAGCCATAGGCGTTCAATAATTTCCATTAAAAAAGAGAAATTATTGAATTCTTATTTAAAAAAAAACAAAAGTTTATGTATATTTATCCTTAAATTATTCATATCTTATATAAAAGTACTTATCTGAATGCATTACTTATGACTGATTGCAATTGACGTTGTATTATTGTTGATATAAAAGAAGAAATATTTGCATTTTTAAGCAACACGAACACAAATTTAGTATCTTTTCCCTGCAATTCAGCATATTTTATGAAAAAAAACCAATCCTGATGTACAAAAAGAACCAAAATCAAATGACGGTTCATAATTTCTATCAAAATAAAGAAATTATTGCATTCTTATCAAACAAAAACAAAAGTTTATGCATATTTATCCTTCAATGATTCACATTTTATACAAAAATACTTATCTAAAGGCATTTATAATGACTGATTGCAATTAATGTTACATTATTTCTGATATAAAAGAAGAAATATTTGCATATTTAAGCAATGCAAACAAAAATTTAGTATCTTTTCCCTGAAATTCAGCATATTTCATGAAAAGCAACCAATCCTGATGTACAAAATGTACCGAAACAAATGACTGTTCATAATTTCTATCAATATAAAGAAATTATTGCATTCATATTCAACACAAAACAAAAGTTTAAGTATAATTCTACTTACATTATCAAAATTCTTACAAAAAAAAATCTAATTTGAGGACTTTGAAATAACAAGTTACAAATAACATTGCATTATTTTTTATCAAAAGAAGAGATATTGGTAATTTTAAAGAATGCGAACAACATTTTAGTATATTTTCTCAGATATTATTTTGATTTTATAAAAAAACAGCCAATCCTGAACCATAAAAAGTACAAAAAACCATTATAAGGCTTTCCAATAATTTCCATTAAAAAAGAGAAATTATTGAATACTTATTTAATAAAAACAAAAGTTTATGTATATTTATCCTTAAATTATTCATATCTTATACAAAAGTAATTATTTGAATGTATTTACTATGACTGATTGCAATTGAAATTGCATTATTTCTGATATAAAAGAAGAATTATTTGCATATTCAAGCAATGCGAACAAAAATTTAGTATATTTTCCCTGATATTCAGCATATTTTATGCAAAACAACCAATCCTGATGTACAAAATGTACCGAAACAAACAGAGTTCGCGAAAACTTATTTTGACCCGTCGGTCATGGGACCGACAAAGCATGATTATTTGTCAGTCCTACAAAATTTTAGCCAGTCTTACAAAATCTCTCAATTTTATCCTGAAAAAAAATTGATAACATATTTTATCGAAAAATAACTTTATTAATATTAGTTTTATTCTTCGCACCCACAGGCAAATTAACAATGAAAGACCAGTTCAGGTCTTCTGATTGTTCTTATTTAAAGTCATCTTCACTATCCATTTCATCATCTGAATCACTTTCTCGGCTGTTACAGTATTTGTTTGCTCCATTGTAGGGTTCAATCGCCGATTGTTTGCCAGGGATGGCTCTATGGACAAATTAAGTAGGCCACGTGTAGATCGCCGCTTTGGTTTGTTTATAATAAATCCGTAAACCAGTACCGGAAATTGGCAGCGAATACATCTGATAACCGATGTAAACACTTATTGGAAACAGTTGCGGTACATCTAATAACCGATGTAAAAAGTGCCGAAATATGCACTACAACGGCCGTTTTTACATCGGTCATTGGGACCGGCACTAGCCTTCAAAATACTGGTCCGAGCCTCATTTTGACCGACAGGACCGACAGGACCGACCATTTTCGTGAACTCTGAACAAATGATGGTTCATAATTTCTATCAATATAAAGAAATTATTGCATTCATATTCAACACAAAACAAAAGTTTAAGTATTATTCTCCTTACATTATCAAAATTCTTACAAAAAAAATCTTATTGGAGGACTTTGAAATAACAAGTTACAGACAACATTGCATTATTTTTTATCAAAAGAAGAAAACTTGGTAATTTTAATCAATGCGAACAATATTTTAGTATATTTTCTCAGAAATTATTTTGATTTTATAAAAAAACAACCAATCCTAAACCATAAAAAGTACAAAAGGCCATAAGCAGTCAATAATTTAAAATTGAAATAGAGGAATTTTGAATTTTTATCAAACAAAAACAAAAGTTTATGTATATTTATCATTTTTATCAGTAAATTATTCATATCTTATACAAAAGGACTTATCTTATTGCATTAATTATGACTGATTACTATTGACGTTGAATTATCTCTGATACAAAAGAAGACATATTTACATTTTCAAGCAACACGAACAAAAAATTAGTATCTTTTCCCTGAAATTCAGAATATTTTATGAAAAACAACCAATCCTGATGTACAAAAAGAACCAAAAACAAATGATGGTTCATAATTTCTATCAAAATTAAGAAATTATTGCTTTCTTCTCTAACAAAAACAAAAGTTTATGCATATTTATCCTTCAATTATTCACATTTTATACAAAATTACTTATCTCAAGGCATTTATAATGACTGATAGCAATTGACGTTGCATTTTTTCTGATATTAAAGAAGAAATATTTGCATTTTTAAGCAATGCGAACAAAAATTTAGTATCTTTTCCCTGATATTCAGCATATTTTATGAAAAAAAACCAATCATGATGTACAAAAATTACCTAAATCAAATGACGGTTCGTAATTTCAGTCAAAATAAAGAAATTATTGCATTCGTATTCAACACAAAACAAAAGTTTAAGTATTATTCTCCTTACATTATCAAAATTCTCACAAATAAACAAAATCTTATTGGAGGACTTTAAAATAACTAGTTACAAATAACATTGCATATTTTTTTATCAAAAGAAGAAAAGAAAATTTGGTAATTTTAATCAATGCAAACAACATTTAAGTATATTTTCTCAGATATTATTTTGATTTGATAAAAAACAACCAATCCTGAACCATAAAAAGTACAAAAAGCCATAGGAGGTCAGTAATTTCCATTAAAATAGAGAAATTATTGAATTCTTATTTAACAAAAACAGAACTTTATGTATATTTATCCTTAAATTATTCATATCT